CTTGCGTTTGAATCTCAACAGGTTGAAGCAGCGTAAGAGAGAGAGAGAGAGAGAGAGAGAGAGAGAGAGAGAGAGAGAGAGAGAGAATAGCGCACGTCGTGGTTATCGTAAAGCCAACTGAATTATGGCAACACAGCCTGTTTCGCAGAATCTATGGCTCCATTTGTTCGTGTGCATTCTGGTCCGGCACATATTGTCGTTTAAACAGCTTACATGTTGTTTTTCACCAAGAGGTCCACACGCTGACAGTTTTTGTTGTTGAGTTATTTAGTACAAACAGCACGCTGCACCTAGCCCGATACCAACCCTGACGTGACCGTAATGCGACAGCTACTCCGGAAGGCCAACAACCCACCCCTGAAAAATATGGTCCAGGGATGTGGCTCATTCGTTCATGAAAAGCGAATTGTTGGTAATCCAATGACCATAAATGAATGTGGTTTCATATAGGCCACACTGTTCCACCGAGGTATGTTACAAACTGTTGATTGGTAAAGAGATCGTACACATAACATTCTAAATTATACGCGCATTGATACACATTAAGCACGTATGAGCAAATGCGATCAACCGGTAAAATGTCCCCACACAAAGGCATAGCAACTTTACAGGTTATGAGCTACTCCAGTTCACATCAGATCTAGCAGAGAAAAGTTCACTTTAGTGGATCCATTGATATCACGTGATACGATATCGATCAATCGGTTTACTCGTTAACCGTATGGTCAAGTCAAGTTTCATGAATATCCCTCAGGAATGCTCAGAACCACCAGAAATGTGTTGTGGTGTTGTTACCCATAACAGTGTGTGTGTGTGAGTATGCTAACTATTAATTTATTACCAATCCCAGTTGGCCTTGCAAACCATCCGATACAGTCTTCACACATGCCGAACGCGTCCACCCACTCATGATACGTGCCAGTCAACCATGACGCACTAATGTGATGGCCTTGACCTGCAATCGGATGGGACCTGTATGTCTCTTGTAATAGACAATAACTGGCGCTGCACTCCAGTGATTTCGCTCTACTTCCTACCGCCCCTTTCGTTATTGGTACCAAGATAATACGGCATAGTGAACAGTACAACTTCATGCATACACACACATACACAATGTGCATTCCTGATGGACAAAGAGACCATAGTCGAAAGCTGGATAATTTTGCATAAGCTGGTCACAAATGATAGCTTTTGTGAGATGTAAACTCACTTTCATTGATCCATCTTGATTCTATGCTCAAACAATAAGATTCTGGCACCAAGCCATACAGCAGACTCGGTAGTACAACTGCGCAATGTGTGCTGACTGCCACCAGCCTGATCAGAATCATTAGTAGAGTCAGCAATCGTGAACAATAANCTCAAGCACATCCCGAGTAATCATCTCAACACACGACCTCATTTCAGCACAAACGACTCTACAATCACGGAATGCCCATAGGGCGTACAAGGACAGAAGGTAGTCAAGGTACGAGTGCACAAAATGTTTGTTACTAAAAGTAATGGAATCACCTCGTCTCTAGTGGGACATTAAATGATCAGACATTTTATTACATTGGCGTTTTCGACGTATGTTCTGTAATCAGCCCCATGCAGCTCGCCCTGAAATACTACCTTCTGTTATACAATGCACGCGGCTCCTGGTTCTCAGGAACCAAGATCAAAGATCGGTTCACAGACTGAGCAGTGAAATCCACCGACCTTCCTCGAACTCAAAATGCCAGGAGGGCATTGACTTTGTCATCGTCCAATATTGAGAAAACTTATCGTTGTACAAAAACAGCACCACTCTTATTGTTAATCCAAACTATGCGATTTACCGAAACACATCTGAACTATCTCCTCTTCTCTTTCCGCTAGTGTCTTCGGATCACGTAACCGGTTCGCCACATTTAGTATGTGAACAGCTGCAAAGGTTTGAATCCAGTTGAATCGATTTCAACAAGGACGGATAAGTTGGGCACTTTCATTGGGAGCTAGGTGACCGCCTCATCTTCCTATTGTCGGTTATCTGGTTAATAACGGCCCTTCGCTAAAACCCTCGCACCATATGATGGTAGTTTTCATCGGAAGCCAAAATGTGTTCAATTCTGATGTGGTACATTCGTTCAAAAATCTCAGTAATTCAACGTTTACTCGTATGAAAGCACATGGTGCATGTTTTCGGTTAAACCCGATAGACTATCCAAATTATAAGCCATGACTACGCAGTTAAAATCGATAGCGATAAATAAGTGACTTGTAGATGTTCAATTTGGTTACGATCGACAGCACAGTCAGTCCGTTTGATTTTCTATTATGTACACACACACACTATTGTGTGCTGAACAGCAAACGGGGCGGACCCCATAGTCACGAAGGTCTGCTGTTTAGTGAAGGCAACCGGTAAACTAAACGACAGTACTTGGAATGGCGAAACACATAGCGCCTAGCTAGGTTAAGCGTGGCATTGAACCGGACGACAGCAAAACTGCTTACCACCAAAGCTGGGTGGCGGTACTCGAACCAAAGTGCACACGACTATCATTATGCACCGGACACGGAACGAAGCGGCGAACCTGAAAAGCGACTAAGTTGAAATGTCCTCCATTAAATGCTACCGGAGCAATAAAAAACAACCAATCCTCACAGCATTTTTCATCTAGACTCGTTCACTGTCTGAATACGATGATCCTAAGTTGCCACGATCTCGACAATATTCAGCAGAGATTATTATGCAAATTCCATGTGTAAAGAATGTGTGAACAAATGCAAACTGTCATGCGGAAACCCCGCGCTCCCTACTTTCCTGATACTGGTTGCGGTCGCCGGCTCGAATGAGAATCCAGGTGTATTGAGCACCTTGGATTTTTGAAATCGTCCAAAGGGCGTCTGATTCGATTAACTGAACAACGGTCCCACCACTCCATTAGCCTGTGTGCCAAGCTTTGACTCGTCGAGGGATCCATGTTTGAATCCCCAAGAAAACTCAAATGCTTGGACAAAGCGACGTCCATGAGCAAATCATGGGGCCATTATTTTGTTACAAAGATTGCAGTAATGCGATTTGCTTAACACAGTTCGGACTCCGACTCGACGTTTGGCAAATCGAACAGTCTTCTCATGCTAATCTCATCATGCCGGGCTTTGGTGAATGTACGTTGATAGCCCGCTAGTGCTGACCGACCAGCACACAGAAGTATGTCACCCAAATAAGCATAGCTTAATCAAAAAGTTTATGTGATGGACCAATTTAGATTCACCGTTAACTGTCTTCAGTTGCCTTGTTGAATTTGCGTATCCACTAAAGCCTACCCTATCTGCAACTTACGTCGTTCGGATAGATGAGAAAAAAGGTAAGTCACAGCATATTAGTATCCCATGTCAGTAACGCCAGCAGTGAAAAAATCCTTGAATTGTGTCAAAACGTAATCCATGCAAAGGCCATGAAAAAGCATCATCATACGAAAGCCAACCATAGGACTATGGATGTGACGAATAAGACTACTTATTTGTTCCAAAACGTGATTTCTTCTTGTTGATGTATCTGCTCGTGCATCTGAGTAGAGACGAACCAGCGTACACACCTAGGTGCATTACATAGAAAGGAGTATAAAAAAGAAACAACGTTAGAAGGGAGTGGGCCGGTTTGATTCAATGGTTGTGATTGGTTGATGAATTATGTAGTTTTATATGGGACAACTGATCAACAAACCAACCGAAAGGCAACAACCAGGCAACCAAAAAACAATGTATTCGGGAAGATGATGTATGGATAGATAGGTAGGTAGATAGGTAGGCAGATCGATTGATATATCCGAAGTTTTTTTGCGTGTCACGTGTGTGTACTTATTTGTAAATCCGTAAATGTGTAGTACAAAAAAAACAGAAACGAACAGTACGAGGAACAAAGTGACACAAGAACAGCCTTGAGTCCAAAGTTTCTGATTGTAAGACAGCTTCCAAACTGACGAGGNTGGGGGAAAGGGAAGTCTTAATGTGACGAAACCGTGAGATACAGAAATAGAACGGATAGATGAATCGGTGCTAATGGTCAACTTTGGGGTATTTGGAGAATTGCTCAGTAGCAACGATTGTTATAATGATGGTGGTTGTATTAATATTGGTGATGATAATAATAATAATAAACGCGGTAGACATACTTCTGTGGTCATACCGAAAAAGATGATAGTCGTAGTGAAAATGGTAGTTGTGGAGTCAGAAAACAAATGAGTCAATCTCCACTGGTCTTTGGGGTACAAGATGGTGCTCAAGTCACGGAAGGAAGTCAGTTAGAAAGAATAGAAACGGTTACCTCATCGATCGAGTAAACCGTGTCACAACCACGATCGTGGTGCTTGTTTGCGTGTACACGTCTAGACAAGGACTGGACAGAAAAGGCACATGTGGATCGAATGGAGACTAGGGGATCAAGAGTGGATGTTTTTATTGAAAGAATAAAGTCCAACTAGCTGACTGATTGTGAATAAAACACACAACAAAAGGAATCGTGTACAGGTCCTCCAGAAATTGCTCCATTATTACAACCAAGAAGATGACAATGTGACAGAGTGAGCAAATGGGTAGTAACATCAGATTGGTAAATATCCACTAAGTGGCACCCTCCCACCTCCAAACAAGTCCCCGAGAAAATAGGAGAGACTGGACAAATGTCCGTTTGTCAGGTAAAGAAAGCATTCGTGAAAAAGATAGATGAAATATCACGTTTTGTTCACTTTGTTGTTCGTTACCAGGCTGTCCGGAACTTGTGAGCACGCACGATAGGTTCAGAGCCCTTGACCGCCCACACCACTGGCGCTGCCAGTACTGCTACTCGGTACTCCAGCTGCATTTGCCAAGACCGAGTTAAGAGCCAAGCTTCGATTGGCGGAGATCGCATGCAGCGGCACGTGATAGTACTTGCACGGGACACGTGTACAACGACCTTTGGCAGCATCACGACATACAATCACTCGCCCCTGGTTGACTTCGACGTTTTCTAAGAAAATAAAAAAAATTTCATCTTTATGAGAAATCAGATACAATGATTCACGAAATGGTATAATTTGGCTAGGGTTCTCATATTACCCCTTGTTGTTTTCATGTACTTCAGTAAAGATAAATTTCTTCACATCTTCATATTCCAAAGCATAACACGATTATCGAACAAAGACAGGAGGGAAATGAAATTATTTTCACTTCAATTCATTACCCCCAGTCAACAAGGAGAACTAGCTGAACGATTAAAATAATGCTCCGATTCGCAGGGTTTGGATCACCGACTGTCATTATTTAGTTTTAGTGACGATCACAGATAGGACGAGGAAAAAACCAAACATCGCTCAACTTCCCCCATACGAAAAACCACAACAAACATCAAACGACAAGAAAATCTGATCAGGAGCACTGGCAACTCGGGTCCCTGTCTGTGGACATTGAGGTAATATTTCAGTACTACATTATTCGAGGTCAATTGAATGCAATGTTGCGAGTATAACGATACTCAAATAGCGCAAACTTTCGGTTAACAGATTACACCCAAAGTCTGCTAATAAGCAATTTAATTGGAGAACAAGGTTTCTTATTGACCAGATTCAGTCGAATCAATCACGCATTCTCAGTGGTACTTCAACTGAAAGACGAAAAACATGGCATAAAATCAGAAATCTGCGCAACTCTGATGACTCAAAAGAATAAACCTTTTTCTCAGTAGTACACAAATAGGGCAATAGTAAGGATTATGCCAATAAATTAGATCTGAGGAGCGACGAAAGAAGTGACATCGGATGACAGGGGGTCTAGATTGATCATGATAACGGGTGAGCGCAACATACGATGGTTCACAGATAATTAGCAAAGATTTCATTAGACAACAGTGACTAGGCGAGTGAATCAATTGCCAATCGACAAGGAAATTTCATGCTTACCATCCACCAGGTGAACATAGCGGCAATCTCCGTTTCGATGGCATTTTCCCGCTTTGAAATCACGGCATATCGGAAGAGTCTCTAGGAGCTGCAACAAGAAAGGTAACATGAAATGACCAAGAATAGTTCAGGGTTATGCAAACGACAATGTTCATAAAGTATAATAAACTGGAAAAAACAGTCCAAAAACAAGCACAGTTTGTCGAGCTGGACAACAACGGATTTTAGTCACCAGAATCAACGGAACTTTTTGTTGATATATTGAAAAACGAACATAGTACAACTAGCTGTCAAAACACTAGTAAACTGATGGAACAGTCCTGACCCAGAATCAACTGAAAAAGTAAGATATAAGACCTTAAAATTCTGATATCTAACGATTGATTAAAGCAAAAATCGATAAAGGCAACGTTGACAGTGAATCAGCTGATAGCAGTGCGAAGCTGTACCAATGAATAGCATGTATTGGTTGGCCTCACTGAGAGCGGGAGTACACCCCGAGACAAAAGCAGTGCACTCAATTCGCTTATTTTTTCGAATTAATTCCGGGATCATCGTAGGCGCTGAGAGTTAAAAACAGTACAACTTTTTTATTACACACTTTCATGTGATGAACAACAGACAGGGTCACGAGGACCTGCTGTTCAGTGATGGAGACCGGTAACCCATGCCCCGGGACTTCGAGTGGCGAACCACATAAGATCCCGATAGGCTAGGCGTGGTATTGAACCGGACGATACCAAAGCTGCCTACCACCAAAGTTGGGTGATGATGGCCGGGCTCGAACCTCAGACCATAGGATCCAAAGCAAGCCTGTGACAGCAACTAAACCACTGCGCCACCACCACCCAAGTGTGCATGAGCAGCCGGGAAACAAAATTTCATCAAATTATCTTTTATTTCAATGGAGATTCGCCGAAAGTTTACCACGACAAAGTATTACACCCCCTCCCCCTCCTCTTGGATTTGGCTAGATTAAAACACGGGTGTACTTGTCTTCCTTGGTCTGTACTTGGGCATAGCAACTGCCAGCCACATGGAGTCACGTAACACCGTATGACAGTGGTAATATGCACATGTCACTTTCAATCAACTCGAAGTAAGAACAAAGACGTCACAGTGGGTTAGTCAGAATTGACTCATGTTGATACTGAGGACATAATCAAATAGTTCCGATTCATTGAGGCAGGATACGCGCAGCGGAAACAAGCACAAAAACGGACCGGGTGAAGGAAAAGGGGAAAGCTGAAGTTAAATACATTTGAGGTTGTGAAAATCGTAATTTTTCTAAGCAGTTGCTGCCGAAAATTCAAGGAATAATGATCGTGCAGATAACAGCAGAAATAAGCCCCGAAAAAAATAGATGAGAGCAGTACTTTCATTGCAATGTACATCGTGGCAATAGAGCTCCGCAAAAGACAAGTCACAACGAAATAGATATGAAGTCAGAATCCAACTCGTCCAGGATCGAAGTTTTCCCCAATCTGAACGGATATGAAAACCATATTCCAGGGCTGAAGATACAAATATGGGTCGAACTCGTGCAAAGATCTCACATTCCTAAAGCCTAGTGTTGTGAACCTCATTCACGAGATTGAATATGGTGTTACTCTAGATCGGACGCGCCAAATCTGTGATAGTGTCCACTTATGTAAAAGGAATGAACTCTCATGCTGCTTTGCAACGATTGTTTTCTGAGTTGTAACCTTTGAATTACTACAAATTTCACAGTGAAACTCAAGGTTGCAGAAACTCAAATCCTGATTTCTCTCATCATTTTCTTCATTTTATTGAATATATACAATGATACAATTTTCAGGAGAGGGGAGACCGCCAATCCAAAAGCTGCCATACAACACAATGGGGAAAGATAGGTGGTGGTGATAGGATTCGAACACACGTCTTCCGAAGTGGCTATTTGGTCACCTCTACAACCAGGCTACCACCGCCCAAGATAATTAAGAACATTACAGTGATAGATAAAGATAGGAAGAAAGGCTCTTCACACACAGCTATCGATGCAAAAATAAAAAAAATTAGAAACTGAAATATTTCTAAATCGAAGATGATGTCACACGAGGATGGTCAACACACGCAAACCGATTGCTTTAAAAACCGTCATGAGAAAAGTTCATTATCCATGCGCAAAGAACCAGTTAGAATCGGCTGAAAACAGTACATTGTTATTTCTTTCGCAGACACATGCGAGCAGAACCCCTCGGTAACTAACTAAACCTGATACAGGTTGCAGAAGTGCAAAAGGAATTGAGTTAAACCGGAGTAAATGAAAATGCCCCCCTACCCCTACCCCGAATGAATGAGAACCAGTAAATCTTGTGCCAAGCGCGATAAGCATGACTACCTTCAAGCCAAAGTTCTAGACATTAAAAAGTTCAACCCGACGAAGGGGAACAGTAAGGGTATCAATGTATGTGTGTGTGCATATGGTTATTTACGCACAACTACCGCCAGCTGAAGCAGAACATGGTTGAAGCCGTTTTACGACCACAAAGGTGAACGTGTGTGTGTGTACCTAAAATGCGAAAGGTATGAAACGAAAAACAGATATCACCACCGCGCTGCGATCCTAGTGACACGTAGCACACACATTTGTCAAAATATTCTTGGCAAAGTGAGCACAATTCCTCCGATGAATCAAGGTCATTTAGGGACACGAACGGGGGACCGTGTACTTATACTATCAAAAGCGGGCTAGTGGTTCTAATTTCAAAGTACTTCAGTAACAAATTTGGCAGTATAAAACGGGGAACGCGACAAATCGATCGATTGATTCATGTTCGGTCATCTGAGGCAACAACAGTCTTTTTCAAATGAAATTTGCTGCAAAAAGGCCAAACTGATTGCACAAATAAATTAGCTGTGAATTTTGGTCTAATTGGTTTGATTTGTTACAATACTCTTAACCACGCCACAAAAAGTGCGGACAGTGAACATAGGACAAAAAAACCAATGTCTCTCAGCAGCGAAAAACGAACAAATGAGAATCGCAGTATTGGTCCAGCTATTCCAGCAGATGTGAGAAATGGATACAGTATCAAATAAATGATAGCTAAGAGAAATCTAGTCCAATATCCATATGCCTTTGAAAATTATAGTGTTAAAAAAGTGTGAAGTGTGGCCCATACAAACACGTCCAAGCTCGCTCTATCGCTCGCACACACACACACACACACACACACACACACACACACACACACGGCTACGGAAACTGAAACTGGACGATTAAGTGAGAACATGTTCGTACATTATACTGTTAGTACGAAGGTAAGAGAACAACTCATTCATGAGATTATCCAACGGGCAAATCTACCCACAAGTCTCAAAAATAAAATAAGATGTAATTAGACGGCCTACCTTACATGAACGGCACTCAGTTGACGAATATAAATGTATTTGTGAACTGTACTGCTGCATTTCATTCGACATCAAACAACACATGAAAAACAAAACTACTCCAAAACTGTATCAGTTCGGTTAGAGTTGAATGTGAAAGAATAGAAATTTATTTGTCAGCTTATCTGTGTGAAAATCGAGGAATTCGACCATTTGGAATATCGAAAGCATGAAACAAATAAAGATCTATGGTTTCCAGACGGATAAAACAATATTGCAAGGTGTTCGGGGTCCTCTTATGGTGTTGAGAGCTATTTGGTTCGACCAATGAACTGTATCACATTGGCAACGAGTGGTTCGAAGTAACTGAAATTATCCAATGAATAATTGAACACGCTGCTAGAACAGAAGCCAACACGCTCAAACCCAGTTTTATCCCTCCACATGGCATTATCCACTTTTCACGTCAGTGACACTGATGCATTGTCTAACCGAGGCTCTCCTTTTGAGGAACGTTTACCGATTATCATGCATTATTCCACCGTTGCTCAACACTTACCTTAGCTTACGGTTTGGGCCGGGAAACGCACATTCCTCCACAGACATCAAAAAATAACTTTTGTTGTAGCCTTTCGCTTGTAACAGAAAGCCAACCAGCCACGATACGTACCGAAAGCAAATGAAGGTCGAATGAGAACCCTTCAAGAGAATTCGGCGGCTACGTTGCATCTCATTTTAATTTAGGGTTTAGGGGTAGAGTTCCATAAACAGTTAGACAGACTGATACGTGATTTTTTCTCATTAAGTGGGGTTCTCACTCTTGGACCAGCCATGTTTAACGTATCTGACATGCAATAATCAACAACCGAACAACGGCTGGCAAAAGAAATTAGGTAGATGAACAGATCGATCGATCGACCGATGATGCTGGTGATGCATGCATATCAACCACCGCTGGCAAGACGAATAAGCACCGACGCTTCGTTCTGCAGCTAATGACCTGTACTGAGCCATCGAAACATACAGCGGGTATTCGCCTGTTGATTGGAATCTTAGCTTGGATAGTTTGAGTACTAGTGTAGCAATGTTTGGCGTGCTATTTGCACCTTCAACGTGTGTATTGCTGTTACAGGACTGAGTTGATCCAGCTCCCAACCTTAGATTAACTGGGTGAACAAGATTTTGCTATCTGGGGAGCTATTTCTCAAATCGAATCAAAATGAGTTTTACTTACAATCTTATGCTTCGCTAGTCCCCAAAAGATATTTACACAGTTGAAGCGTTTCCTAGCAAAAATATGATAAAATTTCACGAACAGTTCGAAGTAGAAGTTAACACATAATGTAGTCTTCACGCGACTTACGTTTTTCGTTGTGTATACCCAGGTCCTTTTCACTTGAAGTATGTGGTAGTTGTTGATTTCCGAGGAAATACGAGAATCTCAGGTAGGGACAGGACTTTTCATTTGTAAACACTGAATTCGTAGACCGTTGAGAAGCTGCTTCAAGTGTTTCTCGAAATGATGGCGATCTCTCAAGTTCTGTTACTGTACAAGTACAGACCCTTGTGGAACACTACGGGTTACGTTTATAGAACTGGATAGGGATTCAGAAACAACCTGATATGATCCATTGTAGGAATGCTTTGATCCAATCAAGCAACAGACGTCGAATGCCGTAATTGTAAAGCTTCTGCAACAGTATCTGGTGGTTTATACTATCTAATGTTTTCGAGATGTCCAGGTAAATCACATCCCCTCGGTGACCGTTCTAGTTCACCCATCTGGAACGACAAACAAATGGGTTCAACAGGATCGTCTATGTGTGAACCCATGTTGAACTGACGAAAGAATGTTGTATCTTTCTAAGAGGACGCATCACGGAAGAAACTGTCGGCTGGCATACAGAAGACGCGAGTTGCATTTGTCAATTTAAGACATCTAGGGCAGTCGCGACATTCGTGAAGGATGAAGTGTCGAGTATATGCTGCAGCAGTTTGGCTAGTTCTGCTATACGGGGCAGAGACTTCGCCATTTGGAAAATAGGATGAAGACATGCTGTCGGGGTTCGACCACCGAGGTTTACGCCGCACTGAACGTGTGTGATGAAACCGGACAAGCAATCTTGAGGTTAGGAGCATAGTTTTTCGCACAGTGGAAGAAGTGATTGACTTCTGTTGATAACGTTGGTTAAGGCGTGTTATGCATGTCACAATATACGTTATCACGGCGCGTGGCGTTTGCCGAGGCAGGCAGTGAGTGGAAAAAGGTTAAGGATAGTGGTATGAGGGTATGAAAACCCCGACCAGGAAACCTGCTCTCGTTGGTTGCGTTAGATTTCCGGGATGGCGACCTAGAGATCATTGCAATCACTGGTTAGAAACACTGAGCTGTGTGGCTGAGTGTCGTAAACGGTGGTGCTTGTCCATCTTCTTATCCTTGCAACCTCAATCTGCCGGAACTGTCCATTTTCTCTTCAAAACTACCGTCAACATTCCAATCTTCCTTCTACCTACTCATCCAAATGAGCAGCCAAAAGATAGCAAACAAAACACAGCACGAAAGTGTATGGCTGATGTTTGTTCAAGCCGAAACTGACCACCGCTGGTCCTAATACATAAGTGCAGAGTTTGGTTGAGTTAAACAACCTTAAATGATGAAAGGAATTGGTGAGGGCGAACATTAAATCTAACTCCTCAGGCTGAAAAACATCGAAAATCGATCGTCATCTTCAGCATTCGGAAGAGAGCTCGGTTACTTAAATAACCACCTAGAGAACCGAATCACGAATACTGAGACAGTTTCATGAATAATCTATTAGCATAACTGTCGTCACTAGAGCAAAAATGTTCGTCGATTTCGCCCACAAACTGCCAAATAAGATCAAGGAGCAATAATTTGAGAAGTGTTGTTCAAGATTGCGCCTGAAAGAGCGTTCTACTTCAATTGACTTTGAGAGCTTAACAATCACTCAGATATTCTTAAAGAATCTGGAATTAAAAGAGACACTACAGAGTGATCTAAACAAGACTAAATTGCTGGATGGCGATTATTGCAACTGCTGGATGCCAGGTAGCCGTTGTAAAAGGAAGCATCAGCTTCATCATCACGGTACAGAGTGATACAGTGAAGTTAATTTCATTGATTGTCGTGAAACCCACAATATACGCAACGTAGGTACGAATTCATGAGGTGAATGGGGAGAGGACTCGTTTAAGGGGAGGGAAAGTGAACCTCTTTGGTCACTATCCAGGGTACACGATCCAACTGCGCACACATACCTCCACGAGCATTCGGGACTGGTAATAAATGACAGTTCTTTCAGTGTCTTGACCAGCCAGTTACAGATTCCCTTAAAAGGAAATATAAGGGTGCCTAGGACACTAAGTGAACCAAGCGGGATGTAAACCATGATGGAAAATAACCGTAAAGGACGGAGAATCCGTGCAAAGCGTACCAATAAAACCGACAGCCAAAGATATAAAAATATGTCAGGGGACTTACATGACCCTTATCATTGATGTAGGCTACGTTGGTGATCGGGTTTTGGACACAGGGGAACGATGTTGCATATGGTGAGGCTTGCAGTCCAGCTAACGCCCCTGGGATTTGATCTGTGATTAGGGAAGAGAAACCATGCAAATAAAACTAGGGTAATAAAATTGCACGTACTGAACTAATATTTCTGTTACAACTAAGTACCGTGCGTATTATCGATAAGTTGCATTCAAAAATACACATACATCGAACATGCTAAAGCAATGCACCAACCATGAAGAACAAAAGGGTAGTACGACGCACACAATATCATCAAATCAACCCTAGCAACAACATTAAAACAATAATCAATCATCCAATTTAATCAAAAGATAGAACATGTAACGATCTGGAGGTTACCCATCCAAAATTGACAAAATCAATGAAGTAGGAGACCGATTGTATAAAACATAAATCAACCAAACGATCACAGAGTGGTCAGCTAGCTGAGGACATGACCTCGAACAAAATATAATAGAGTATATTCGAACATCACGACGAGACTACCACTTGACGTGATGTGGTGGCTTTTACACCTCGCTGACCCAACGAACTACACGGGATGGTTTTTGTCAATCCAAAGATCTAATCATGCCTGGAAGGTCGAAAGGTAGAGGTTAGACGAAGTCCATTCTCCTGGTCCTCCAGATTGGGGTTTCCACTATAAATGNTATAAATGGCATCTCAGTCGGTAGAAATGCTGGAGGAGTAATTGATCCAAGTAAATGGGCCTCCATTCCGCCCTACCAACTGCCTTAAGATCAGGTTCCTTCTAAAAATAAAAGCTTTGGACGAGAACCCTAATCGTTCTCCTGCTTAGTGGTTAGACACCCTGGCAGTACCAGTCCATCAACCGCTAGTGAACACAAAAAAAATAATTTCATACTGCATCCGTCGTCGAGCAGAATAATCAGGACCGCGCTGCCCATTGCATCGAGCAGGGTCGGTAATGATAAGTGGGCTACTTCTCAGATATCCCAACCTTAGTTAAACTCTCACTTCCGAACCCAACCCTGTCCATTTGCCGCTTATTCCAACCCGTAACATTCCCTCAGACAACTTGTTCGTCACTCGCCAAAGTTCACTATCTAGAAGCGCTGCAGGTAGTCTACCGTGAAATAGATTGCAGATTCTGAGGCCTCATCAATCACCGAATCTGAGGGCCTTCAACATGAGGACTCTGATGCAGGTAACTCAACAAGCTTATCTAGCTCGTACAATGAAATCCTTAGGGATCGATATTTGCAGCTTGTCGGAGACTCGAATCCAGGGTCCCACCACTATGAGCCACTTGAGAGCGCTAAACTTGTCCTCGAGGAGTTCTTCGCACTTCAGGTGATGACGAAGTTCGCTCAGTAGGTCAGCGCGGGGCAGGTAGTAACAGGGCTGAGACTTCTCTTATTGATTGGATCCTCGTCAACAGCCGTTTACATGCAGTGCGTCTCCAGAGTTCAATTGGCGTCCGGAAGGGAAACAACACCAAAAGGTGTTTGTTCATCATATCAGCATATGCACCGACCAATGGCAGTTCTGATGCACGAAAGGATGATTTCCACGAAAAACTCATTGATCTCATGTGCCTGAGTCGAAACTCCGATACGGTTGTACTTGCAGGTTGGAAAACTGAACGCATCAGAAGCTTTTCTAGGCGATAGTTGTGCTCTGCCCTGCCAGCGAACAGATAACGACGATCAATTTCTTCAGCTCTGCGCAGACCATCATCCGTTCCTAGCGAATACCAACTTCCGACACAGCTCTTGACAAGTGGCCATGTAGAGTTCCAGTTCAACTGGTACGCTAACTCAGATCGACCACATAGCAATGAGCTACCGTTGGCGTGGCTCAGTGCAAAATTCAGGTCCTATTGGACCACCTGCGTTGAGTCTGACCACGCACTAGTTTTGATGCAATTCACTCTTCGACTGACTGGTGGACGACAAAACCAGCAAACTCGGTTAGCTCACCATCGCTTATCTGTTCCAGCAATTCCAGCACGCTGAGTCAAAGCTAGTGAGTTAGCCAGGCTCGTTTCAACGTGATGATGTAGATGAGCGGTGGGATCAGACTAAACGAACAATGCATTCCGCAGTGAATGTTGCTTGTAGGTCTGAGCCTAAATCCCGTCGGAGGCGAAGGATATCTGATGAATCTGTAGCACTGATGGATGAAAGCGAAATCCCGATCTGCAGGGATCAAAGCAGGGTTAGGTGGCATTTGCAACATCAGCTTACGAAGAGCCTCAAGAAGGACCGTGAAAACTGGTGGGCAACAACACCTAGCAAAATGGAAGGAGCAGCTGCATCATGGAATAGTCAAAGACTGTTTCGACTGATACGTAACACGGGAGGTCGTCGCAACACAATTAGTGAAACAATCTGCGACAAACATGGGACTAGATATTCACAGCAGAGAACGACTGCTTGACCAGGGGGTGCAATACTTTAACGAACAGTTCAGCTGGCCTTGAACTAGCTAAATTACTTCATCTGCAAAAGAAGCTCCGTGGGTAGTGACGTGCAATACTCCAGCAGAGGTAGAAGTTCGGTCTTGCTTTCAAGCCCTGAAGCGAGGAAAGGCGACAGAACCAGGATGGGTTCCCTTCTACTCTTTTCAAGAGAGGGTGATAACCTCGTAAGCTTTGTGGGGTTTTGTGTTAGCTGAGCTTGTATTTGTATTTGTATTTGTATAGACTTTTGCGAGAACAGAATGTTCGCATTTCAGTCAAAAATTTACACATCTCATCAATAGAAGGAAAGATACGAGTAAAATATTTAGCCATCAAGGTTACTGAGAAATTCTGAGGAAGCGCGCTCTCGGTTTACAAGGATTCTGGCAAGATAGGGAACTGGGGAAATTCTGTAGAGACTAATGCGAGAGAGTAATAATCGATAAGAAGAACGTGTCGACGTATGAGAGCAGCATTTAGATAAATCACCATGTAAAGGATGGTTGGGGTCAGCGAGGATTTTCTGGGCAAACGTTTCACATGCGGACAAGTGAAGTTCACACAGTTTTTTAGATAGCTCATCAACGGGTATAAAAGACACACGACTGATGATCGACAAACCGCGACGAAGAATTTTGAAGTCTTTTTTTAGTAGACCAGCAAAAACCACCGGAGAACAATAAAGAAGAACGGGGAAAACAC